ATGCTTATGAAATTTCTCTGGTTGCTTTATACTATGATGGCAATATTGAGTAGTTCAGACAGACTGAGATAAAACCTGAATGGTTGGCAGTGCCTAGGGACTCTCTGGCCACTTCCAGAAAAGGGGAGCAGCCCCTGCTGTTGAATTCCAGTGAAACAGAGAGCCAGTAGTGTCTTCTCTAGAGAAGGGCATGTAGAGTTTACAGTACTTCAGTAAGCACGTTTGTTCAGGATTCTGCCTAGAGTATACAAGTGAAGTGTTCTAAATTTCTGGATTATTTATCACTCTTGAACTTCTTACCTGAACTGTTCTCCACGTCAGGTATACCAGTTCTCACTTCCACTAGTGGTTTCTCTTCTTCCATTAGACTTTTCCTCTCCTCTACACACTTGCCAGTGACCTAGGTTGAGTCTTAAAGACCTTCTGGATGGAGGTGTGGATAGTACAGCAGGTAGGGAAGTGCTTCTGGGTGGAGTGGGTGGAGCGATAGTACAGTGGGTAGGGCATTTGCCTTGCATGTGGTCAACCTGGGTTCCATCCCTAGCACCCCTTATGGTGCCTTGAGCACCGCCAGGCGTGATTTCTGATTGCAGAGCCAGAGGTAATTCCTGAGCACTGCTGGGTGCGGCCCCCAAATCAAAGACCCCAAACTCTCTTGTTGGAGAGTCTGATGTGGTCCCAGTGACCTGAATTACTTATGATAGCAATGTGTTTTTCATGTTGTTGATCACCTTTTGGGTTTTTTTTTTGTTTTTCATTTTTTTTTGGGGGGGGGGTCACATCCAGCGATGCACAGGGGTTACTCCTGGCTCTGCGTTCAGGAATTACCCCTGGCGTTGCTCAGGGGACCATATGGGATGCTGGGAATCAAACCCGGATTGGCTGCATGCAAGGTAAACGCCCTACCTGCTGTGCTATTACTCCAGCCCATCACCTTTTATTTTTTAATGTGACCTGCCAGGTACTGTTTTTGTTTGTTTTGTTTTGGTCGATTCTCTGCCTTTTCCTTTTTGAATTGTGAGAGTCCTTGGTTTTCAAGTCACAGACTGGTCTTAGTTTGTATTCTTTATAGGGCTGTCTTAAAGTATAATTTGTCTTAGTTAATCTTGAAAATAACTCTATATACAAGCAAGCACATGTACACACACACACACACACACACACACACACACACACACACACACATGCACAGGCTATTTGACTTCCTGGGAAATTTGTGAAGTTGAAAATGCCAGAAGGGGTAAAGCAATAGTACAGTGGGTAGGGCATTTACCTTGCATGTGGCAGACCAGAGTTCAATTCCCAGCATCTCATATGGTTCCCCAAGCACTCACAAGAGTAATTCTGTTGTGTAGAGCCAGGCATAACCCTTGAGCATCAGCCAGATGTGAACCAAAAAGCTAGAAAGAAAGCGGGCGGGTGGGCGGAAGGGAGGGAGGGAGGGAAATGCCAGAGACTGAAGGGGAATCTCGAGATAATGCAAACCCTCATGTTCGGGCCAGTCGGCTCCTCGCCAGGGTGTTCACCTAAGCCTGCACCTGCCCTATCTTAGCACAATTAGAAGCATTTCTGAGCTTGTCTGTTTGAGTGAGCAATGGTGCTGGTACTTAAGCTGCATGGACATGATTCACAGGGTAGCAGGGAAGTGAAAGGCATCCATGGAAGGCGTTCATGAAGGTTGCCTAAGATAGAAATCCAGCATGGTTTGTGGGTTCCCTATTTTGGCTGGAGTCAGCCCTTGACTTGATCACACTAAACCGTTCTCTGGCCCACCATGATTCCAATCATTAAGACTCTGCCTTTCCGTCTGGGCCACACTGCTTTAATTTGACTTCATGTTGTTCCATCTGCCCCAACCCACAGAGTAACTGGCGTCCCTAGCGCTTTATCTCCCTGGCCTTTCCAGTCAAACCTTCTGAGCTGAGCAGTTAAAAATGAGCTGGACATATGGGGGCTGGAGGGATAGTAGAGTAGATAGGGTACATGCCTTGCACACAGCCCACTGGGGTAATATTCATGGCACTCAATACCATTCCACAAGCCAAGGGTAATTCCTGAGCAAAGAGCCAGGAACCTGATATCACTAGGTATGCCCCTCAAAACAAAACAAAAAAAAACAACAACAACAACAAAAGGCCAGGGAGAGGGAGGGAGGAGAGAGAGAGAGAGAGAGAGAGAGAGAAAGAAAGAAAGAAAGAAAGAAAGAAAGAAAGAAAGAAAGAGAGAATACAGGGGTTCAGGTATTTGCCTTATATGTAACTAAACCTAATTTCATCCCTGGTACCATGTGGTCCCCTGAGCACAAAGCCAGAAGTAGGCCCTGAGCACTGCCAGGTGTAACCCAAGTCCCCTCTGTACTCAACCCAGTTAGAAAGAAAGAAGGAAAAGAGAAAGAGCTCTGCATTCCTGGGGAGACTGGAGCTCTGTGAAGTTCACAGTCCTCTCCACCATGACCCCAGAGTATCTCAGCAATAGCTCGGGGTGCACATGAAAGATGTTTGACAGCTACCATCTTGCCACTGAGGACCACTGAGAGACTCTCCAATTGACTGGAGGGACCCGAATCAGATTCCCCGCTCTGGTGCTCTCCCCCGTCTCACGGAATGCAGTTGTAAGTTGGCTCATTACTTAAGACCCCAGGCAACCTTGCTCTGTCATCCCCAGCATCGCCCCTCCAGGGATGGTCACACCCCAAGGATGGAAGCCAACATAATGGAGAATGCAGGAGGCAGGGGACAGGGTGTAGAGGGGAGTCTCATATGTTATTCCCTGAGCCTGTCTGTGCTTCATGCTGTTGTGTCTGACTCTACTGGGGTTTCTCCTGTCACCTCACTTGATGCTCAGGTGACTTAATGCTGTACGTGACAAGACCAGTGCCACAGGCCCGTGCATGGAATACAAAGGCACTCAAGTTTTTTAAGCCCTGTGTCTCTCTGCTTGGATTTTCATATCATTTTAATTTAATTTTTTTTCATAGTGATCACACCCTGGGCTCGAGCGATAGCACAGCGGGTAGGGCATTTGCCTTGAATGTGGCCGACCCAGGTTTGATTCTTCCGCCCCTCTCAGAAAGCCCGGCAAGCTACCGAGAGTATTTTGCCCGTATGGCAAAGCCTGGCAAGCTACCCGTGATATATTTGATATGCCAAAAACAGTAACAACAAGTCTCACAATTTGTTGTGAGACGTTACTGGTGCCCACTCGAGCAATTCGATGAACAACGGGAGGACAGTACTGCAGTGATCACACCCAAAGCATCTCAGGAGCCACCAGGACTGCAACATGCAATCTCCTGCAGTGCATGAGTCAAACCTGAGGCCTTGTATATGCCAGGCATGTGCTCTACCTGCTTTGAGCCTTGTTCCTATCTCCTTAAATTTTTTTTTGAGCAGTTAGCCTTGAACTCTCGCTTTTGTTTCTGGTGTTTTGTTTGTTTGTTGGGGTCCACATCTGGCTGTACTCAGAACTTAACTTCTGCTCTGCTCCTGGGGATCAACTTCTGGTGGGCCTTGGGGGACCATATGGGTGTTGGGGATTGAACCCTGGCTGGCATTGTGCAAGGTAAGCACCCTGCCCGCTGTACTATCTCCCCTGCCTCTTGACGTCCCACATTTTAGATGGCCCTGTTCCACAGATAATCTAGCTGGTCCCATCTGCTGATAAGAGAAATTGAAACTGCGCAGCTAGCAACTGGCTGAGCTGGGATTGGAGCATTTCTGCTTTCCTATTCCATTTATTGAACATAGAGCCCTGAAATAAGACTCACTTGAATTGCAACACAAGGAAAGCGAGAAGCCAGCTAAACAGTGCTGTAGAAATGCTGATGCTCTTGGAGATTTTAGCTCAGAACAGGAAGGGGTTTCGTGCTGACCTCACCCTGGCCAGATGCTTATCTTCTGTTGGATGGGAGGTGTCCTAGCTATCCTTGCTTTGGAGATACCTAGAAGCATCTAGAACAGTTGCCACTTAGGTTGCCCCAGTGGGTTACTGGATTTCTTTTTGCTCATTGTGAAAAAGACCACTGGACTTATCTTGGAGACCCATAAAAATATGGATGAAACTGTCACTGTCACTGTCCTCCCGTTGCTCATTGATTTGCTTGAGCAGGCCCAGTAACGTCTCCATTGTGACAGTTGTTACAGTGTTTGGCATATCAAATAGGTCACAGGTAGCTTGTCAGGCTTTGCCACCGTGCAGGCGTGATACTTTCGGTAACTTGTTGGGCTCTCCGAGAGGGGCAGAGGAATCGGACTCGGGTCAGCCATGTTGGACGCTTGAAAGGCAAACACCCTACCTCTGTGCTATGGACGAAACTATATTTTAAAAAATACAGAGGAAATCAGACATCATCCATCTTGGAGCACCTGGAAGTGTTCTCTTTCCTCTTGCGCCAGAACATGGCCATTAAGCATCACTCCTGTGTGGCTCCTCCATTCAGAGACTCTTCTAAGCTTTGCTATTCTGTCCAACCATCTCTTTCCCAATTCCCCCCTGAGACTCTGGTTTGGCTGCCGGGGTGTTGGTGGGGGGGGGGTCATCAGGAGTGTCATTATCACCCTCCAAATAATGACAGCTGACAGCCAGGTACACCTCTGCTACAGAACTGTTTGGTTCCAGCGCTTTGCCTCACAGCTCTTCTCCTCATGGTTTTACCTACAACTCACCCACCGTCTTGTGTTTCTCATGTATTCAGTGCCATATCTGTTTCCTCCTGAGAGTTGTGATTTGCCCTCGGTTACAGACTGTCTTAATGCACAGCTCTGAGGCATGGGTCTATTGGAAGGTTTAGGGACACCATTGTGATATCTCGGAGTTTTCAGAAGGGGGGCAGAGTCTTGCCTTGGGTTTGGCTGGCTCATCTTATGGGATGGATCTTGAGTTGACCATCTGAGCTGAACTTTGTCCTTGCGCCACTGTACACTCGCAGCTGGAGAAGGTTCCAGAAATTCCCATGGGATCTGCTGACCTCTCTGGTGATCTCATCTGTTTTCTCTTCACAGCAGCAAACCCTCTGCTCTGCTCTACTGCCCGCTACCACTGCAAGAACGGCCTTTGCATCGACAAGAGCTTCATTTGTGATGGGCAGAATAACTGTCAAGACAACAGCGACGAGGAAAGCTGTGAAAGTTCACAAGGTAGGAAGCTCTTAAGCTCAGAAAAGTAATCGTCACAGTCACCCTCGAGATAATGACAGCCAGGCACGCCTCTGCTGCAGAGCTGTTTGGTTCTAGCACTTTGCTTCATGGCTCTTCTTCTCATGGTTTTACCTACAACTCACCCACCATCCTGTGTTTCTTGTGTATTCAGTGCCGTGTCTATTTCCTCCTGAGAGTTGTAATTTGCCCTCAGTTATACACTGTTACCATGCACGGCTGCAGCTTTCCTCATTGTTGCATACTTGGTGGCCACGTCATTTTCATGGAGTCACTTTCTAGGGATAGATTCCATGGAGAGGAGCATCTGCACCCATTTCTGACGACAGCCTTCCCCACCCCCCCCCCCCCCCCGACCATTGGCATGTCACTTTCCTTTATGCTGCTGCTAGCATTATTTAGGCATCTCCGTTTTACTGTCGTATTCCCAGGCATTCACTGCTGTTCTATTTTTCCCACTTTGGCTAATTTAGGAGTCATCAAATGATCGCTCCCCAAATGCCCGCATTTGCATGTCCCTGATTATGAGCAAACTTCTCATTTTTCCCCCTCATGTTTGTTTACTACTTTGTTTCCTCTCCCGTGACTTGCCTGCCTCCTCTCAGGGTGATGCGGGAGCAGCAGGATTCTGCTAGCGAAGATGGGAGGATGTGATTTTCCAGGAACTTGGAAGGACACTGTGGGTTTATAGGGTTATCATGCTACTCCCATGCCCCCACCCTGGCCCCACTGTGAAAGTGAGCCCAGGAAAGTGACCAGGCACAATTCTTTACTCACTGACTCTTTCTGACTCTACATGTATTTTAAGCATCTTAAAAAATGTGTCTCTAATATGATAAATGGATGCCATCTGTGTGCCGTCTTTATTTTTTTCACTTTATTTTCTATTACTGTGATTTCCCCAAATTGGAGCTTGTTGGTAGAAGTTCACTATTTAGGCTGCTGTACCATATGCTGCTCTATGACGATACCATGGTTTTATAGATTGAATAAAATTGTAAAAGATGAAAAGCAGGAGAAATGGCAGGTCACAGGTTAAACTCGTGTGTGGGGGGAGCGTGGGGGGGGGGAGGGGGGGCAGGATGAAGAGAACAAGCTCCCTGAGGTTAGTTGTAGACTATTCTCGTGGTCCTTTCTTTCATCCTGGTAGGTATCTCTGCCATTCAAAATGTATGCATGCATCAGTGAATGAATAAGTAATGGGTTGTGTGAAGACCAGTGGGGCCAGTGGGTCACAAACAGAGGATCGTGATCCAGCCAAATCTGCACCCTGAGAGTCCTAGGAAAGGATAATGACAGAATATGTGTTGGCATGGATTTTGCCAAAATGTGTGCAGGAAGGAAACAGCTGAGTGCTGGGCAGTATGAGCGTTTGCTTGTCCTGGGGAGCACTTTTGTAGGTCTTCTCTTTACCAGCAGGAACCTCAGCACCCTATGGGAGCCTTCTGAGAAGGGAGAACTCAGGCTGCACCCCCAGATGTCCCAGCAAGCCAGTGTGGTGGCCAAGAGCTGCACTCTTTGGTTCAGCGCTTGCCTGTTTAGCATCTGGTGGTCACCAGGCGTATCCACATCTGAGAACCCCTGTTTGACGTTAACATTGGTTTCTAATCTCACCACTTGCCTAGGAATCATTACACTGCTGATCAAACAGCTGAGTATTTCAAAGTCAATGTTTAATAAACCAGAACATAACATCTGGATGCCTTGTATGGCATTGCCACAGTCAGGGATAGATGCCAAACAGAAAGAGAACCAGCAAGTCAATTTTATATATATATATATAATATATATATATTATATATAATATATTATAGCTTCAGCAGGAGAGATCCAGGAAGACTTTGTGTAAATATTGTTTCTTGCAATTTATTTCCCTCCCTCCCTTCCTCCCTCCCTCCCTTCCCTTCATTCCTTCCTTTCTGCCCCACCTGACTCTACTCAGGGGTTACTCCTGGCTCTATGCTCAGATATAGCTCCGTGTGGGCTCAGGAGACCATCTGGGATGCTGGAGATAGAACTCAGGTTGGCCGCATGCAAGGCAGTTGCCCTCCCTACAGTCCTATCGCTCTGGTCCTGGTTCCTACCCTTTCTTGTGTGTTTATATACCTTAGACTTGCTTATTGTGTCCTAGAGTATCTAGCCAAAAGACTGCGAAAGTTATAGTCTTTATCCTGAAGGTTTTGGAAATGTGTGTGCCTTCTTCCACACCCCTCCCTATTCCAGTATTTCACTGGTTTGGGGATGAAGCAGGTTTTTGCTTACCCTTAAAATCCTTTCCCACCCCCACACCATTTCTAAAACATCCAGTGTAGGGTGGTATCTGTTTACATAGTGCAAATACACAATCCTGTTGGGCACAGAACTCACGACATAGATATTCATTGGAGCATCCATCCTTAGCCTCTCAGCTTGGTGCCTTCCAGACCCAAGTGAGACCCCATATTCCAGCACCCATACTTTTTGCCTGTGTTCTGAGAAAGCAAGTCCCGCTAGAGCACGGGCCTCTGCTGACTGGAGCCACCCTGCAAGGTTGCTCTGTGTGTTGGGCTTTAGTTGGCAGCTGGAGAACAGGGAAAATGCCTTTCTCGCCTCTCAGATCTCTTGGAACCTATCGTGGAGCATAGTGCCTGCGCACACGGGCATCTGTGAGTACCGAGGATTAGAACAGATTTCTTGGAGGATGTTGTAAAGTGTTGTAAAGCTGTGTTTCATTTGCACCCTAGGTGCTATCGCGCTGAGCGTGTAAGTTACGTGAGTGTGTGTATTCATCATCTGCAGATGGTTCTGTGTATTGTTCCTGTTAGTGTTCAAGTAGGGTAGGTGAGACCCTCATTGGCTTTGTTCAAGGACGGCCTGCCATAAGCAGGAGGTGGGGATGTGGGTCCACTGTCTACTTGGCCAGCCTGCAGGTCCACATACCCTGCCGTGTGAGTGCCCCAGCTCTAAGTGGCCTTGTAATATTGAAGGGCAGACTCTCACCATTTCTCACTGACTGTATTTTTGAACAAAGGAAGCTCCACGTACCGGTGGGTAAGGCAGGCTCACTCATGGTGGGCGTTTAAAAGACCAGGTTCCATGCTGTGTCTTCCCAAAGATTTTCACAGGTAGCTGGTTTAGACAGAATTCAGTCCTTGCCCCTTAGGGTTTGACCCATTGTCATCCTCCACCTTTTAATAATAGTGAACATGTATCGAGTTTAACTCACTACTTCTATACAGAGCTCATTTAGTCAGAATATCTCCTATATCCTTTGGCTGGGCTTCCAGCCTTACAAAATGCATCTTGGTTTTCATTTGATGTAGAGAAAGAAAATTATATTTTATAGTGGTTTTTTTTTTTTTGAGTTGAGAAAACTGGCCCTATAAAGGAACTATGGGACTTGAAATGTTTTCCTTCTAAATGGATGAAAGTTTAAAAAAAAATGTGCTGAAACTTTGGAGTAGAGATATTGTGTGTCTGTGTGCTGGATTGTGTGCCTCTCTCTCCTCTTTGCTCTTCTGGGAGCAAGTTTCCTTCCTTGCCCTTGGCATGGCAGTCTCTGTTGGGAAGTGGAAGTGGGAGTGGTGCTATCAAGGTAAGGTGTTGTGATAGACCGAGAACACGCTACAACTATAGAATGTTAAGCTGGGACTTCACTGACAGGAAACCTGTTTACTGGATTATTCTAGAAGCACTGGCATTGTATGCATCTTGCATATAACAACCCTGGTACTCTGAAAATCTCGCCAGAAAATACATCTAAGAGTCTTCAAGTCTTGTCATGAGTCTGATGGGTGTGACAGTACTCAGGTAGCCTTAAATTTCCTGGGACTAGATCCTAATTGAACGTGTAACTTCTTCCCAATGTTGGGTGAAGGACTGAACCAGGCAGAGCCTCCAGTGATCCAGTCCCCTCCGTTTATACTCATCTGGACCCTATGACTTTGCCTTTTGTGTCTTCTTCTTTATCCCTTTTTCATTTTTCGAAGGGGGTGTCAAGGGGTATACGTGGCTGTGCTTAGAGCTCATTCCTAGTTCTGTGCCCAGGGATCTGTTAGGGATCCTGAGGGTCGAACTAGGGTTTACTGAATATAACACAAGTGCTTTTACCCCAGTACTATCCAGCTCTCTTTTTAAAATTGGTATGTGTGTGTGTGTGGGGGGGGGGGGAGGGAGACTGGGAGGGGGCAGATAAAGACACTTGTACCATCTAGTTTAACCACATTTTCAGTGTACAAACAAGAGTTAAATATGTTTACAGATTGCTCTGCAGCCAAGCTCCAGAACATTTTCATCACAAATCTAAAAGGCAGACCTGGGAGAATAAAACAGAAGGGCATTTGCCTTGTATGCACCAACAGGTATTCCATCCCTGGTACCAGTATAGTTCTCCGAGCACAACCAGGAGTAATCCCTGAATGCAGAGCCAGAAGTAGACCCTGAGTACTACTGGGCATGCTCCCCAGTCCCCCCCAGAAGAAACCCAGCATTAAAACACCATGCCCATTAAACAGCACTTCCACATTCTCCCTTCCGCAGCTCTCCCCTGCAAACATCATCTGCTTCCTGCCTCCACAGATTTGACAGTTCTAGATACCTCATATAAGTGGGATCAGACAGTATTTGTCTTTTTATGACTGGCTTAGTTCACTTAGCATAATATCCTTAAGGCTCATCATGTGTCAGAATTTTCTTCCTTTTTCATTAAGGAGGAATCATATTCCTTGTATCATATGCCACAGTTTGTTTATCCATTTGTCTGTTGATGGATAAAGGCCCTTCTGCCTCTTGGCTCTAGTGAAGAATGCTTACTCTCGGCCGGGTGTACCACCTGTGAATGGCTTTTAAGGAAGAAAAGAGCGGCAAAGGAGACAGCTATCAGTTCCAAGATTAGATTACAAATGACTCTGGTGTCTGTTTTGCTTATTCGCTCTCACTCACACGGAGCAGGCAGGCTGCCTTGTGCATTGCGCTGTGTACAAACCCACGTGGCAAGGAAATGG